AAACATCAACTGAAGAAATACAATATGAGACGGACATTGAAAATAAAGGCTACTATGCTGAATACATTTTACCATGCGCGGTTAACGTTTTGTCTCAAGATGACATTATTATAGACTTTGTTATCAGTGGCATCAGTGATAATTTTTTCGTAAGTATGGTTTATTATTCATTAGCTTAGTATAAAACGTATTCAATTATTCTAACTTTAACTTTATTTCAAGTCATACGTATATCTTTATTGGGTTTGTTTATATTCGGGAAAAAAGTTAGATATTGTGAAACGTGACTTGAAAGTTAAAAAATTTCCAACTGGTGTAAAAAAGATTGGTTATGGGCAATTTGTTTGTCCTGCTAGAAGATATGCCATATATTAATGCGAACATTGTTTAAGCGAGCGTGCTTTATTATCCGTTTTTGTGCTTACTATAACGCTTACGCATTGTTATTAAATTATGAAACATAGTTTGATTCTATTCATGCGTTGGACGCTAATCACGCAATGATGGTTGACGCGACTTGGGAACAATGATCACGCAAACTTACCTACTTAACGAGTAATTCGTATTAGCCGGACCGGTATCTATTTTCTAATAAATGCCTGAACTGAGAAGTATTTGTTATTCATAACGCGCGCATTACAATGCAATGGTTCGAAATTTATATGCACCTTGCTTTATTTGCATAACAACTACGTTAGACCGAGTGCGATTGATGTCAACCCGTAAGTAAAATTTTTCTATTCTTTGCTTGTAAATGTTTATGATATTATTATCTAGAGGCTAATCTATAAGTCTTCATATGTAAATGACCGCCGTCCGCGTAGAATCAGAACTAAGTAGTACTAAAACGTTGAAATAGATTCTTTGATAAAAGCTACTAACAGCCTTTATGCCTTGCTTTGTGTCATAAGTAACAATAATAGAAAGAGAAACATACGCATCAAATGTAAATACGGGAATGTATCAATGCAGTGCCGGAAACAATGTAAAATTGTTCGTTTCAGTGTATTAGTATGTACGTGTAGACTTTACTTTTGTATTTATTGCATTATAAAAAAATGCTTTATAAATAGTAATAATACAATGTTATAACAGCAGTAAGTTACGAGTCGATGCAAATGATTACACTCTATTCTAATATCTGCCTGTATGTAGACACATTAAATTCATGTTTGGGATGTGAGCATGTATTACTTTTGACGTTTTGTATTAAATAACTTGACATAGCTACTCGCCGCCTTCCGAATCACAATACTGAGTTTTTTCCTTTTTTATATTGGACGGTCGTATTCTCGCTTTGTACTAATAAAACGTCTTTGACAACAAAAAAAATGCTGGTTGACTAACTTTCGAATTACTTTACTTCTTACCAAATTGGTCCCACAACGAGAGTAGAAGGTACGCTTTGGAATAATATTGAACTGTTAGACTGGATAATAAATGAGATATAACCGACAAGTATGCGCGAGTCGCACGGAATACGGTAGCAAATTATTATATATCGTATTGTTCTCTTCAAACACTCGCAATATTTTAGCCCCATATTAATAATTAAGAGCCTCCTTATTATTACAGCATTAGTATACGTCGTTTTCCGTAACACAAAAAGTTTGAGCGCGAAAGTTTAATATTAAACATTCTAAAATTCGAGTTAGATGTATATTAAAAGTATCGAACCTTTGTTAGCTATCCCATGGAGCGTGCAGCATTTGGGTCTAATTGAGGGGGGTAATATACATACTCAGTGGTTTACGGTAGTAATAACAACGCAGTGTGCATCAATCTCTCAATGCTGCAACTAGTATAAGTTGCTTTTGAAAACAGTATTAATCGAGGTACTACGTAGTATAGCATTTGCTTTAACGGCTTCAAAAACAGGAGCAGATTGAAAAAGTGCAAATATTAATAAACACGCTTACGGACAAGCTACAGTGGGTGATCGTCACTCCTTGAAGTTTATTAGCAAACAACACAAAGGTACTCCGAAAATCCCTACTGTCTATACGCACTATGTAAAAGTTACGGTAATTTTGCATAATATTAAAGCTAATTGAGTACTTTTTGAAAAAATTAATGTGAAATTTAATAGAGTATTGTAACGAAGATATAGTTTGCTAAAGCGACGACATTTATATTTTCATATGTGTAACAATAAATGCCGCCACTAAGCAATAATGGGATAGAATGTGTTATTATTTTCGTCCGGAATGTACTTTAACACGATACAAAATTTATTGTAAATTACATGTGCGCATAAACAGTAGAGTTTTTCAAAAAAAAAAAAAAAAAAAAAAAAAAAAAGGTACTTTTTATATGGTTTATTAATGAACTTCGAAGGTGACGAATACTTTTGATAACCCCTGTAAATACCGCACAAGTTGCATTTACTCCGGCGTATAAGGATCGAGGTCTTTACTGTATTAGGCATTTCATAAATAAGAGGTAAACGGCATTAATCTGGTATTGCACTTGAGACTGCTGGTTGCAAAATCGTATGTATCAAACAATATTGACGTACATAAAAGTGAAGGTTATCTTACAACAAAAACGGCTGTAATCCTTTTGGAAACTCAGCCAAGAGGGGCAAAAAAAAAACCTACCAAGTTTATTAATTACTTTTAGACGAGCATGTTTATCAACGTCCATTATCACAATATATTGAAATTATACAACGATCATTATACAATGAATAGTTATACAACTACCTATTTATTATAGTTTTGCCTTTCAAATGCCCGTGTTTATTTAACTTCATATATTTAATACATAAATACAGGCGAGGTGATGTCAAACGATACGATGCGATGCATTAGTGACAGATGTTAAACTTTAAAAAAGTTCCCTCTTCACCTGAATTACTTTACAACACACTAAACGTCTCCACGTTCGAAAATATTGGCTATACATAACTTTCGGATCGACAATAATAACTCTGAAATTCCCATGCACTCACCACAGTCGCTATGTCATCCCGCATTTTTTTTGTTTCTCATACACATGATATCTTGCCAATTCCAACATTATCAGATAGTGTGGATAGGAAATCGTCAATCATACTCTGATATCTACCATGGAGTGAAGCCGGAAACAAAGGCCCTTAGAAGAAGCTTGGAGAAGTATTGGTGATACGATCCTACGAAGACATATAAAAGATTATCCTAAGGGAGCTACATACAGTATACCAAGCCGCTCTAGGAAGACAATTCATACCTTAGGAAGACAATTCATACCTTAGCAGTCTATTATCTCTCTCTAAACGTCCTTCTCTACCAACCTCATTACCTGGAAACACGTCGATCTGTGATAGGTTAATTTAAACAGACATGGTAGGCATCCATCGCTTCAATGTGATTAAGACTTGAAAGTCTTCGTTCATTCGTACCCCACGAAATTACGTGATTTCATATATCCTCCTCGTCCATCAGCAAATCGTTAGTTCGAGAACAAGGAAGGGTCTTCGTATGCCGTAAGATAATCACCCGTCTTGAGAATTACCGAATCGTCCCTCTGAACAATATTAATATACAAAGAGTTTTTCGAATGCCGAGTTTGCCGAGGATACTCGATGGAGCAGAATAAAGTTTGACCGAATCCACGGTTCCCATTCTTGTAAGAGATACATTTGAACTGGTTTGATTAATTCTTCGAGTTGCATTTCGTCTGCTGCTAGGAGAAGTTCAAGAACTTCTTTTCCTGTTTCCAATTTACAAGAAAATAAATCACCAAAGAATAAATTCGTAAAACTAAAAGCAACTTCCATCTCTTATCTTAACCTATCTCATTGCCAACCCACTCTTTCCCCCTCTCTCTCATTCTCGCTCATTTCAAAATAACCTGAAATATTTTTTCTTCTGCCGTCTCGAACTCCTTAATTATAATATTCACAATGATTATTCCAATAAATACCATCAGCGCATCCAGCCAATATGAGCCAACCATAATAATCCTTCACAAATACATCCGTCAAAGGTATTGTCAACGATAATCCCAACTACAACGTCACCATTAAGGTGATTTCATTGACAATGACCAAAAACCTTTTTTTCGGCGGTTAAAAAATATATCTTTTAGCAAAAATAATCCGAGGCAAATTCCCAGTAATAGTAACGCATTGACCATAATCATAATCCAAAAGTTCATCGAAAATGGCAATACTCTTCTATACCAGCAAGAGAGATAATGGCCAGAGAGAATAGACGTGTTGAATACCCAACAAAACCAAATAATAGGGCCATATTTACTTGAGATTCGTCTTTATGCACAGGTATAACATCCGTAGATGCAGGCGCCAATTGAAGCTAAGGAATCACCAAGTATTTTTGAACATAGCGTACCCAGCTCAAATAAGCTGTTGTCATCGTCGTCCGATCTGTCTGCTGACGAGATTAGAATAATTCCGATAAGCTATCAAAAGTGCAATGTGAAATGGATAATACGTGTACGTGTATAAATAATGTTTAAGGACGAGAACAACGACTAACAAACCAAAGAAAAAGTAAATATAGAGATTGATAATCCCTTAATTACGAATTACGTCTCCGTGTACCTTGTTGAAACAGCAGCCAGTTTGAAACGACGAGTGACCCGTACAGAGTGTAAAAAAGCCTGTCGAAAAAAAAACTATATTCGTATTAATATATCAGCATTCTTCTTGGCTTGTCAGCCCGGTCGACTTTACCCCTCTGAAATACAATCCGCAATTCTACCTGACATTGATGTCAATATTGTACTGCTTGCGACTATTGTATATGCATCGATCGCTACTCCAGTTCGCTGATCAAGAATGGTAGAATTAGAATTCTTGGTTCAGAGACATTCACGCAAATAATTATTTTTCTAGTTTTAACTTAACTATAACTATTATCCGACAAACTATAGTGCGCAGAATGTCAAACTAAGCTTGGCAGTCTAACGTATAATCACTATCGTTAATATCATACCTATCAACTAACTATCCCAATATTTGATTCACATTCCAGCTTCACATTTGTTAAGGCATACAGACATCAATACATCATGAAACGTATGTCTCTCCGAAGACGTACTTAAAGCAAACGGGTCTACGGTGGATTCTGATTAATAATTACGAGCATGCGCGAGTATGGGTGCAGGAATCATTGATAGACTCTTGAGAACTCCTCGAAGCTATGTCATATTGAACTCTGTTATACTGATGTGAAAAATAGAAAATTGTTATTTACATTACATGCCACTCCCTAAACATTTTTTGAAGCCTTCCTGTAAATACCGTTCTAGTTCAATAGTAATATGAGAATACTGGGATCATGGCGAAGTTCCCGACCTGACATTACATATCACTCGCAGCATGTAACACACGGCAACGAATTTTTAACCAATAGGAAACGAGCAGTAAGAATTGTCGTCGGAAGATACGTTGATAGTGACCACTTTGCGTAATGGCATATGAGGTATATAGGAAAGCAAGCATATGCTGAAATACTCCATTTTCTTATCTGTTAACTAATACGTATTACTTTGTAGGAAACTGAAAGCTCAATTCCCTTTACAGCCGACTTAATGAGTTCCAGCTCAACAACCGGCTATGTATCAGGCAACATTCTCACAACAAGTAGTGCTCCTTGTGCTCCTTTAATGACATCTTCTACATCAACACTGAGTAACACTGTAAATCAAAGCGGTTTTCCTAAAGTTACAGTTCAATTAATGGAACAGGGGCTTATGTCAGCAGATGCACAAATACAGGGACTGTTAGTGAACTTGAAATATTCTCAGAATATTTACACTCTCAAATACATTCTTGAACATAAAGGAGATTCTGTGTCAGTAGAGATGTTAGATACAGCCATAAAGAGTCTATGTACTCAGGAGTTTGATGAAGTGTTCTCAGGTGAAACAGCTATTAAATTGGAATGGCAATTACGAATTATTGTAACCATACTGGAGTTAATGTGTCAAAAAAAGTGTCAATTTACACGTCCATTTATTAATGGTATTAGACAAGCCACTTCCAAGTACAAGAATGCACATTCAACAATTATGCAGTGTGGAGGAGAAGTTTGGAAACCTAAATTTGTGGGATCTGATGAATCAGACAAAACTATCAAAAGCTTTAAATGCAATTACAATAGTAGATACCTTCTCAAACTCATTAA